CGAAGTGGGCGGAGACGGGACGGGTGTTTGTCCTGCGGTGAGGGTGTGCAGGGGGGCACCTGCCCGGGGAGGGGTGACAGGTAAATGCGCATCCTCACCGGCGAGCCGTAGCCCCCGCCCCCGTGCACAGGGGTGCCGGGGATCCCCCTTACTAGAAGGCGTGGGTAAGTGGTGCGCAGCAGCTACCCAGCCTAGCGAAAAGGGCCGGTGTAGCACAGCGTGAAGCAAGTAGGCACTGATGGCTGGAGGCAGGAGAGCCTATTCTGGCTTTACCTTGCGGTAAGACTCCAAAAGATTCGTTTCCATCGAGTTGCATAGCAAGATAGCAAACCCACTGTGGCTATCTCATGAGAGTAAGTCACTTGCTTTTGTAATTCTGAAGATAAAACCTAAATTTCCTGAGCCCCACAAAGATATTTGTAATACATTGACCACATCGGTTGGCTTTTGGCAAGACAATTCCGGGGGGGGGGGGGGGGGGAAATCCTGTCACGTTCCTTTTGTTTTCCTTATAGATACTGCCAAAGTACCTGCTTTCCACCACTTTCCTCGTTTAACTTCCTCTTGGGGTCAGCTGGTCGTCAGCATGCCTTCTACCGAGAACACCTCAAAACTTTTCCTGGTCCTCATTTCATTGCTGCTGGTGCTGCCAGTAGTTGAAGCCCTGGATGCAGGAGATACCATCGCCTTCCTACTAGGCCTCGCTGTCACCGTCGTCGGATTCTGTGCCTGCCTTGGCTTGTACGCAAGGAGAAGGAATGGGCAGCAATGATTTGAAGAAGATGCTCAGATGAATTTCCAAATGCGGCTTGGGGTTGAGATCTGGGGTGTAAAACTGAGCTTCGGTTCTTGATAAATTTCAAAAACCATGTAGAAGATATTTCTGCAAACACCTTTTACTGTGCAATACAACAGAACAAGACTGTACCCAGTACAAGGGATTTGTAGGATCTGTCCTTGTGAAAGTAAGATGATTTTGTATTGCTTGTGATTAAATACTGCCTTAGAGAAGGGTAAGAACTTTTTGAATCGGGAAGGGAAACCATAGAGTGGTTCACAGTAAATGTTTATAAAGGCAACATGTGAGGAAGACCATCAACAAGTTCCACAATTTTGGTTTTAAGAGTTAATCATGAGAAAGCAGCTATTAATCTTCCAGTTAGGATGACAGAGCTTTGGAAGTACTCCTAACTAGATAGCTAGCGAGCAGACTGCTTTGACTTGCGTGCATGTGCTCATGTTCTTTGTAATGACAGTTAACACCTAACAGCTCACTTCTGCTGTCAGAGGGATGAGACTTCAGACAACTGAGAAAGCAAGGACAACTTTTTTTTCTTACGTATTTTTATTTTAGAATGTGCCTCTCCTGTAGCCTGTGTTCTTGTTACCAAGTAGGTACACTTAGGGATGGGACCACTATTTTCTTTAACATATATTTCACAGAAAAGTACATGTAAGGCTACATAAATCATATTAGGAGTATGTTTTTTGTCTCTTGGGTTTTTTTTTTTTTGTACTCAGCTTTCCTTTAGGCACACCAGGTTTAAGGCTTATTTCATTTGGTGTTCCTATTTTTTTCCCCCAAACTGAAGACTTACCTGTTTTAATGAGGAATTAGGTGTAGTATTTCTGCATTAGGGGGTTATTAGAATTATAACAAGACAGTTGTGCACACGTTTGTTTTGCAATATGGAAATAATACATTTTGTTAAAATCCTGGTTTTAGTCAACAGGTCCACTGTTGTCAAGTGTCTTCCTCATGACAAACTTACGTCGCTAGCTAAACCTTTTGGCTTCTTACCTAACATATGCATATGAGTTCCACAGAAGATTAGGACCAAAACCAAAGTAAAAAATCCTGATGCAAAGTGGGAGATGTAAATAGTCTTACGCTATTCGTGCTCAGTCGGATTGTATGGTATATGGTTGAAAGACTCGACTCAGTAGCATATCTAGGACCTGTTTCTTTGAGTACGAAAGGTGAACTGGCACAGCCAAGAATGTCTACGACAAGTCCCCTCTGGCTTGTTAGGGTGTTCTAGGTGTCTGCTTGAGACAAGGAGCACAATCTGTAACAGCAGCAGAATAAGGAGCATAAGAAGGTGAGCTCTCCACAGTTCACAGAATTTCCTTCTGATCTCATGCCGTGGACACTGCCACTCTTGCTAGAAATCTTGGCTTTTATCTTTCAGAGCTGGAGAAAAAGGTTAAATGTGATGCAGAGCTATATATTTTGATACTGTTCCCTTCCTCTGTAAGCGTCTCTGTTGAGTAGAGCACAAAGCAATAGCTGGAAGAGTTGTCAGGCAGGTCTTGTCTTATAAATAATTGGGTGGGCAGGTCATGTTTTCCAAATTCTAAGATTTCTGTATGCCATTTGTGGCTGCTTTGACTTCTCTCTCCAACCTCTGAGGAGGCAGAAGCCCGGGTTATTTCAGTCTTGCAGTTTATGTCCCTTTCTCGTGGTTGGTAGAAGGAAGTAGGTAAAACAAAAGCTTGAAAAATTGCGTGGGGTTGAAATTATAGGACTCAACCCAGCAAGCTACAAGAATGCAGGTTTCTGCTCTCAAGTTACAGGAATAATAATGGTCACAAAGTTACTCTGATGAGATGCAAGTCTTGCCAGGTAGCTGTTCTTGAACCCTTTCTGTGGCTTCCAAAAGTTAGAAAGGGACACGGTGCACAATTACTATGTACAAATGAAATTTACAGCACTAAGAGGAGCTTCAGACAGTAGTGTCACCTTTGAAAGTGCCTAGCAGCAGTAGACGATCCTGTATGTGGTTATTCAGCTTGGTGGATGCAAGCACACATCAAGCGTGATCTTCCATGTTACAGCTTGGCTATAAACCATTACCCCTAAAAAACCCCAAAAAAACCAAAAGAAGAAACCCCAAACCACAAAATCACCACTCAATTCACTTTATATTTCCCAAAATATGAGAACGTTGCCAGTTTAAATACTACTCTTTCAATAGAATAAATTTTATCACAAGCAGCTTTTCACAGACTCCTCTATCTTCACTTTGGAAAAGATGCCTGGCAGTAGTTTCACAGAACTGTGCAACAGTTTCACTGCAGAAGAACAGAATTTTAGCAGAGTAATGAGCATCAGGTGATAGGGATATGAGGAACTGTGTTCTTTGCCCAAAGCTGTATGTATTTCATTGAAAGGTGTTTGCACGGCGTAATGGCGTGGTTTCCTGCGTCCTGACAGAAGCTTTATTGTTAAAGACTTTCATTTGTCAATGAGTTGAGTGTAAAATCGGATACCCCTGGTTTTCTTTTGTCTTAATAAACTTTTGCATATGATTTGTCTTAAGCTTGATGGAGTAGTTCTTACAAAAAGGAAAATCAGGATGACAGAAATGACTGAAATGGCTGAAATTCCTTATATTAAATATTATTATATACTTTTGCTTATGTTAGGTGATTTTACAAACTAATGTGGCGTAAGGTATGTTTTCAGTTGAACTTTGGTACGGTGACTGTCCTTCTCCTGGTCCTGTTACTTGTTTATCTCGTTTCATTATCAGTTACTTTAGAGTACTTCAAGGGGGCTGTTCCCCTTACTTTGAAACTGGTAGCTTGCAGTTGCAAAGAAGCCCTTTTCTCTGGTACCAGGGAAACTCAAAGTATTCATTTTTCCTTTTGACTATGAATTTTCAACATTACTATTATGTAGTTGCTGTTATACCAGAAAAGCCATTTTTGGCAGTTTTCTAGCTGGAGACCCAAGGATATAAAGGACCATTTTCTTTTTTTCTAAAGAAAAATCATGCTCTAGTGCTTTATAGTTATTTAAATTATACAATTATTTTTTTTTTAGACTTCAAAAGAGCTTGTTTTATCCCAGCATTTTTATGAAAACAGGGTTCTAGCCCTTTTGGGACTTCAGCTAGTGCACAAAGCAGTTTACTTTGTGCACTAAACCAATACCATTAGTGACTTCAGACCAGAAAGCAAAACCAGCCTGACAATGCCCACCTCTTAACAAATACAACCAACCCTCTCATTAGCACAAGAAAGCTGCAAGTCAGGAACAAGGAGCTTTTGACTGCTATGATTTCCATCTGCTTTAACAGTAGCATAGCTCAAAACCAGCCGTTCTACAAACATTTTAACAGCCAGCGTACGGTCCCTGTGTGCACGGACAGAAGTCCTTCACTCCTCGTGGTGTACCTGCAAGCGCTGTGCTCCAGCTAGGCGTTACCATTCTGCTGAGTACAGCTGTACCTGGGACTGGAATACAAACACTTCACCCTGTTCCTAACACACTTGCTTCTCTGGGTGTATGAAAACTGATAAAGCACAGCTGTGAACGCTTTCTCCCACCCAGATAAATCCTGCTGCTGGTGGTGATGCTGCTTCAATACTATCGCGAGACTTGGCGATTCTATGGCATCTTCCACCTGAGAACGCTGATACGCTTATAGGTATTAATGTTTGCATCCCTCTCGTATCCCTTCATGAGTGGGACAAGCAGAAGGAGAGTCAGTGCCTTGTGGTGGTGTCACAGGAAGTAGGTGGTATCTCCAGGATGCTCGCTGAGATTTCTGGAGCATGTTGGGCTTGCAGTTCTCAGCCACCATGCCCCTGCCATGGGAACTGTCCCTGGACCAGCCCAGGGACTCTCATGTGCTGACCAGGCAGTCTGAAGCCCTGGTTCCTCTTTGCACAAAGCTGTTTACATAAGCTTTGAGAGAAGGTAGTAGGGAGTTGAGTTCACCATTTCTAATAAGATAAAACATGACTAAATGGATGAACCATAATAGGTCTGTTACCATGGTAAATGCTCTAATTACTGTACTACAAAAGTAACCTTTCCGTTCATTTTTGCATCTGATGAAAGGTTTGGCAGATCTAAACTGATGAAATGACAAGAGATTGTTAGGAGTGGTGGAAAGGAGGGCTTGGATCTGGTTGTCCTCCCAGTTTACACTTGAACAAATTGTTAGTAAATGAGCTGAAGTCAACAGAAAGTCCGGGTTGTTCACCAGATTAGAAAAACAGGACCACTAATTCAGAACCAAATGCAGCAAGACATACTGGGCGAGATTTGATGTGACTAAAGATGCACAGGTTTTTTACTTTTAAAAGGCAAGTTTTTAATACACGAGATACTGACCATACTGTTAGCGTTAGATTGTTGAAGAATGTAACCAGTTCTGAAATGATGAAGATTTTCAGTTCCCATGAATACACAGTAGCACCTAGATACTACCTTTCCAATATTCAGAAAGCAAGCTTTCCAGCAAGTAAGCTGGAATTTACACACCAAGCTACAGTATGGTAAAAACCACAAAAGCACCTCTACTTTGAACTAAAAATAAAAGAGCAATAAAATTATATAGATATTCAAAATATTTCCAGATGCTGTACTGGTCTCAGCCCAGTTTCTCTGTAACAAAATTTGAAAATAGGTATGAGGCTCTGTCACATGAAGGTGCAGGCATGCTAGACGGTCAGCATGGCCTTTTGTTTCTGGATCATTCATCTGATCAGATCAAACAGAGGTTTTCATGAGAAAAACAAAGCAAAACGTCCCTTTAAAGTGCTAAGCAAAGAGACCCGTACAAGCTCTCAAGTGTTAAGTGAAGGCCTGCAAGTGGAGTGGCCTCCAGCAGACCTGGGAGTTGCAACCATTAGAGGCAGGGAAGAAAGAACCATGTCCCCAGACACGCTATTGTAGAAAAAGAGAGCTTGCTGCTGGGTTGGGTTAAAGTTTGTGCTCTGCTTGAGCCTTCCTGTTTCGGCCGCATTCCTCCTCGCTGGTCTTTGTCTTGGAAATTTTGACTGGAACCAACACTACCAGCAGCTTTCCCAGCCGCTGTTCATACAAGGCACTAAAATGTGTGCGCACATCTTCATGCTGCTACTCTCCGCTCTGCAAGTATAAAAGCATGAAAATTCCCTTCTCTTCCTGAATGGAGTCAAAATGCTGCAGAGCAACACAGTTTTGTAAAACTTACTACAGAAGGGTCTGTCTTTTTCTTCTGTTCTGTTTGTGCAGCTCTTTGCACACATTGCGATGATACTAATAATAAATAATAGAACTGCATGTCCCTTCCCTACCCTCTCACAGAAAAACAGCAGTCCTAAAACATGACCAATTTTAATCTTGGCACAATTAAAGTGAAGAAAATTGTCACTTTTATCAAAATATGTTCACTTTCTATTTCATTAATTATCTGTGAAACAAGAATGTCTTTAGTTCAAGGGCATTTTCTGCCAACCTTTTTCCGAACTCAGATGGCTACGGAAGTTACATGGTCAACACCTGCACTTATTTTTCATACTTTAACCTAAGGTGTTTGTTCATAAGTCATGTGTTAGCAGTTTTAAACTTTATTTCATAGAATCATAGAATGCTTTGGGTTGGAAGGGACCTTTAGAGGTCATCTAGCCCAACCCCCCTGCAGTGAGCAGGGACACCCTTAACCAGACCAGGTTGCTCAGAGCCCCATTCAACCTGGCCTTGAATGTTTCTCGGGATAGGGCCTCCACCACCTCTCCGGGCAACCCATCCTGGTGTTTCACTACCCTCATTGTAAACGATTTCTTCCTTATATCCAGTCTAAACCTACCCTGGTTTAGTTTAAAACCGTTACCCCTTGACCTGTCACAACTGGCCCTGCTAAAAAGATTGTCCCCATCTTTCCTATAGGCCCCCTTTAAGTACTGAAAGGC